GTACCTTGCAAATGTACCTTTGCGTATCACTGGAAATCAAGAAAATTTTATATAAAATCAAATGTCACACGAAAGTATATATAAAATGTTGGATGTAATTGAAAAATAATAAGGAATTAGGAAACAGATACAGACTTTGGAAAAGATGTTTCAAGTTCTTTACAGATGTAGGATGAGGTTCGTATTCAAGATATACATCCACACGGCTGTTGTTAAAACAGCAGTTTTCACCTGCAACATGCAGAGTAAATGAAAGTTTGGTCCTTGTTTTAAGGTTTCAAAACAATTTTGGTCCCTAGAACGGACAACCTTGTCCCAAAATCCATATGAATCCTTGAAATAAGGACCAAATCCATAGAAAACCTTAAAATAAGGACCAAAATTAAAAAAGGTTCCAGTTTTAGAGTTTAGACTAAACATGGTCAAAACATGAAAGCAAAGAGACCATTTTTGTAACTTACTCCTATATCCTTTTATTTTACAAAACGGTACCCGTGCTTTGACAATTTGACCATTGTCCAAAATTGAAATCTTTTTTTTTTTTTCATTTTTCATCCTTAATATAACGTTTCATGTCGATTTTGGTCCATGGAGCCTTGAGATAAGAACAAAAATTAGAGAATCTCATGGACCAAACTAAAACAAGGTTTCAATTTTGGAATAAACATGGTAAAAATCAGAAAGCACAGGGACAATTTTTGTAATTTACTAAAATAATCAGCAACATAGCTAAACAAGTTGGCCAATTTAGTAAATTAGAAACTAAATTAATACAAGAACAACCTGTAAGGGGTGATAATAATTCACTGCAATCTAAATGCCCATCACATGCAGACTCTATCATGTTTGTGAGAATGTCACTGAAACAGTGTAGATAGATATATAGCATCATTTTATTGATCTAGACACTCAAATATTCAGAAATAAGAAAATGGAAAATGGAAAAATAGTTAACCTCTTCAAGTTCAGTTGATGCATTCCAAGTAACCCAAGTGCCTGTGAAGAAAACTTTTACGTATGAAATAACAAAAAAAACAAAAACAAAAAAAGAATTCGAATGAATTTGAATAATAAAAAAAGAGACCTCATCAAAATACACATGAACAAGATTAAGAACGAGTTTAGATGTGATGTGATCCAAATATGATATAGGAGAAAGAAGAGCAGC